TTAGTTATAACAAATAATTCATTCAACATCAGCACAAAGTCTGTGCCTGAACCAAGGTATGCAAAGACGTCCTTATCTTGCTCTATTTGGTTATGACCAAGATCTGCTAACAAAAAACAAATGTGAACCAAACATAGTTGGATCTTTTGGAGCAGGACTATGCTGATCATTTACTCCTCATTACAAAAACCAACTGGAATCTCAGATACCACCAGATGCTGCGTTCTCTAAAAGCAGTAAAGTTTCAGTAACAATTAGAAACTTTTCCCAATAGGACAAAAGGCATCATCACTGGCTGACAGAGGAGCAAACCTGGGATATGCTGAAACCAATACAGAAGTCGCAAACATCTAATGAAAAAACTTAAATCCTTGTAGTTACACTCTGTGTTTGATACACACTCTGAACAGTAAGTGCAAGCACTGGTCTGGATAGAAAAGGAGCCCAGAACACTGGACAATCCTAAATAAAATCTCCTGTGACAAAACAGTAAAAACTCAACACAGAACTCATTATCCCTGACATGGTAATTTTTACATACATGAAATTAGTTCAAATCATTTTATCTTAACTTCTATAAATTGAAAATAGTCAAGGGGATGAGGTTAAAAAAGTGATGAAGGATCCATAATATCCTCCTCAGTTTTTCTGGGGAAAGAACATAATAATTCATCATACTCTAATCCACATAAAAGCCTCCAAGCAAGCCGTAAATCCATGTCAGAATGTTATCTAAAACACAGACATTTAGAACCTATTAAATTACTCAGTTACTTTTATATTTCTTAATGATGCTTCATAAATTACCATGAACTTCCAAGACTGAGAGGACTGTCTAAAAATTTTCATTACTAAATTGAGATTATAGTATAAATGGTAAACTGAAACTTTACCATATTCCTGAACCCACACCATGAAACAGACTTCAAGTATTCTTCTGTATATCTAATATAAAAGCCAGATTCAGTCTACGACTCTACTGCAAGTAGAGTAGAGCAGAATATTTTCTAATAAGGTATGTATTTTAATTTAAATATAACAAATTTTACACTTCTGATTAGTAGGCACTATTCATTCTTTACTCAATCGGTTCCAGAAGGAAGTCTCCAGATGATGCAGAAAATGCAGACATGGCATCCATTACAATTAAACAGCCAGTGAATGTAAACCTCACAACTTGTTTTCATATCACAATGACAGCATGTGGTAATGAACTTTCTGTTAAGAACTGTTAAGACCTGGAAAGGGCAAGAAATATATACTCCCAAATACTAATTACTTAGATGCTTAATACTCAACCTCTTCAAAAACCTGGAGATCAGCCAAAAAGTGTCATAAATGGTTTCACTTTGTACAAGAACCTTATTTACCAGCATTCTTAATTTTTATTTGTGCAGATGCTGTGCTTAGTACTTAGCAATGAAATAGCTAAATATAAAAGCAATGCTAATTAGATCATCCATAAGCGTTTGAGATTTTTTTTTATAGCCCAGAATTCTCTATTACATTCAGCTAAGGAATGCCAACCACATCTGCTCCAGCCACCGTGGAAGGGAAGGTGTTCCTGTTCACAGGGGATAAAGGTGGTTGTGTTCCCAAGGGATGATGCAGACCCTCAATGCGTCAGTGGCAACACATTTTTCCTGCCTGAAATGGGACTGTTCAGCACCACAGCTGAGAAACTTGTCAGTGTGCATCAACTGCTGCCCAAGCAAGTTTCCAAGTTTCACCTGCACCATGAAGCAGGGGAGTTGCTTGTTGTGAAATGAGGATCCAAGGTCTCGACCGACTGCAACGCCGAGGGAACAGAGCGTTCCTGGCAGGAGGGAGGATGGATGCTGAGCTCCCCTGGTGGGATCCATGTGCCAGGACACAGTAACAGCACCAGACACTTCATCTTCTGGCTTTGCCTCTCTCCTCTTTCCCCTTCTCAACCTCACCCTAGAACATTTACATCTTTTTGATGCAGAAGTACATTCCATTTAGACAAGCTCACTGTCGTTACTTACAACAAAGCAGATTTCTCACTGCTGCACTGAAATTATTTAAAACAACGAACCAATTAAGAAAAAACCTGTAGCTTAAATACCAAGAACAAAAAGCAGTAATAAAATAACCTCCCTCCTTCTTCCTCTACTGGGTGTTGTTCTGTGCTACCAAAAAACCACTGAAACATCACAGACAACAACTCATTCTACTGAAATAAATCAATATCCAGTGACCTCATGGGGAAAAAAATTTTACCACTAACATGTAAAACTAACACCCAAAAAGTCACCCATACATATAAATAAAATCACAATGCTTCCATGTAAAACCTGTAACTAAAACATCACCTACAGCTGATCTGAGATCTCTTTTTTACAGTGAGCACATATTTGAAAGTTACACTGGTGGTAATTACCAGTGGAAGTCTAGAAGTTTGGCCAATAGAGCAAAATAAAAATGGAATAAATTCCAGAAATTTTACTAAATTATTCTGGCATGGATCTCATCTTTCAAACTCTGCAATGCTAAGATTGTTACAAAATCCAAAATAAAAACCGAGAACATACTGTGAATGTATTTAAAGTAAATTAAAATTATGGTTTTAATTTTCTAGGATTATTTTCAAGACTTCACTGTATCACTTGATGCTATATGTGCAAAAATATATAAGTTAACATTTTGAATATATTTAAGTTTTACTTACATAAATGCATTTTTAAAAAAGAGAATGAGTTAAAACTCATACATTTACCTTGAACTTTAATGAGCAGAACAGATATAATTTGCAGCATTAAAGTTATTCAGGCTCAATAAAAGCTAAAACTTGTCCTTGCTGAGCAGTGAAATGAGATTTGCATGGCCTGTGTACGCCTTGTTTCCCACAATCAAACTGTCACAGCACAAAAACATTCTCCTGCTTGGGGAGGTTTTGATACCCATTTCCCTGGTGAAAGTGTGAGAAGGATCTGAAAGAGTTATTGACAATTCATACAGTATCCCATATTCCATTAGGTAGTACAAGCAGAGAACATACCTTAACTCTGAAGGGAGATGAAGCAACAATGTTTTAAATTACTATTGACTCCACTAAATTTCCTGATAATGTCAGAAGACTGTAGTCTGGCAGGTTCATAAGAGACTCAAGATGATACAGGAATCCAATTATGCCAAGTCTATTTAGTTGTCCTGTTTGCTAAGCCAAAGGTTAACGAGAACTGCACTGAAAAAACCTCCTGTGGTATTACAAAGTATTTCTTATGCTGCATAACATGCAAATGAAAAAGTATTTTAATCAAGTCTTTCTTTAACTCCTTAATTGCAAGGGGGTACCCTACAAGACAGCAAATTAAAAACTCATGATGGAAAAAGTGATCTTAAAAATTTGTCACTGAACTCAAGAGATCATCATTAATTACTCAAGTAATTATTACTAAATATTTCTAATTTGGGGGAAAAAAAAGTTCAGATCACAGGAGCATAGACAGTCATTGCTATCATTAAATCTTTATAAATAGTAAGCTACGGCCTCTAATTTTAGACAGAAATTAATTGTATTTTTGTTGGCAACACACTCAAATCTGTTTACACAGCTGACAAGTTCCAGCGCCACCAGACTCGAGCTGTGAGCTTTGAGGACTCATTTGCTTCAGAGCAGATGACTCAACATTCACCAATTTCATTAAAGATGAAAAGGGGAAAAATTCACCTGCAACAATGTCACTTGAAAAAAAAGACCTAAAGCAGATTGATGAGTTTTACATATGTGAGGTATCCTACTCAGAAGAAAAGGAGGGGAAAAATATATGAAAACCTAACAGCTGTGGGAAAACAGATTAGAAGTGTTGAGTTTCCAATTCTTTTTTGGGCTAATGTAAACTAATAAAATGCTAAAATGGATCCACATTTCAAAGCCTGTAATTACCACATGACACCATTCTGTTATTTCAGACCTTACATCTATCAGCTCAGATATGCCCTTGAATACATGGACTGAGATTTACCCACCTTTCTCAAACTTAAATACTGTTTCTGCAAACAACACCACAGATACATTTTACAAGTACACTGGAAATTCAGACAGCTTTTGCCTTTTGGTTTTTTTTTTTAATTGGCATAAATCCTTTTCCCAGAGCAAAAAAAGCAGCAGTCATATTCAAACAGCAATTCTCCCTTTACAAGAAGAGAGCAGAAATGGACAGGAAAGCAATGCATGGCAGATAATGGCAATATAAAAGAAAGCAAAGTCCAAATCATTTTCACTTTGTAGAACATTCAGGTTCAATAAAAAACTTAATTTTTCTACATTTTTTTTGAGTCACAAAATCTACATACAACATAACTACATAATTATTCCACCCTTTCAGTAATTTTCTCAGTGGATTGGTTGAGTTTTTTCTAAAGAAAGGCAGACCTCACTAGCTGGCACAGGGAACATAGTAGCAGAAGGAAACTGAAAGACATGCTGTAAAACACGTTGTAAGGATGACCATGGAATGAAGCAAGTCTAACATTTAATGGGATACTGCAGATAAGTCCCACAATTTCACGAATTTGTGGGCAATTCTGAGTCAGTGAATTCTGTCACCTCACTGATTTCAGCAGGAACATCTCCTGCTCTGAAGCCAGAGGCCTGAGCACTAACTGGGTGAGCTAATGTACTGTGAAAAGTACCTAGATGTGCACACAGAGCACACATAAAAAATCAGGGCTTTTTGCCCGAGTTCAATCACCCAATAGACTTCAATTTCCAAAATTGAAGCAGCCTTGCTTCAGTCTAGAATGGCTGAAATGAAACATGAAACATGAACTGAATCTGCTACCAGGAATCCTTTCCCTGAGCTGCAGGCATCCAAACCTCCAGCATTTGTATCTTCCATGCCAAAACTCTCAATGTGTGTGATGTTAAGGTACTGCATAAGAGACAGTAAGTGCTACTGAGTGATTCCAATCAAAAATCCATGTAAAATCAGCCTTTTCTAGGAAGGAATGAGATGAGAAGCCAAGGAACTCACCGAGTCATCTGTGGCAGAAGAAGGCCAACCTTCCCACAGCTGGTGACGGACAGGGATACTGGTCAGGTCATACACATTCCGCTTCACCTGGGAAAAAAATAAAAATAAATCAAACTTGCTCTAAAAAAGGCAGCCAAAGGGCATTATTTTCATCACAGCACCAAGCTTTTTATTTTTCCAGGTTATTGTAAAACTTTCACTTAAAGGAAATGATAAGGCTATTCCAAAACTGCCCTTTGATGCCTTCTTTTGATTTTCACTTGTTCACTTGTCAACAGGAAACAGAGAGCAATTAATTGTGTACTAACTTCTGCTATAAGAATTGCTAAAACTTCCATGAACTGAAAAAAATTAAATGCATTATATTATAGCTCTCAGCAGGAAGAGATCTTTGAGCTAGCACTTTGCCTGCAGTCTAGTGCACTTACCCTGAGTTAACAGCTTTTCCTGAACAGAAAAATAGTTTACAACAATCAGAAAGAAAGCTGAATTTCGCCAAAATGATAAATGCTAACATAATCCATTTAGATAAAGGTTTCATATTCTACAAATTAATGAAAGACGATTCTACATTACTATTCTTAAGAAGATAATACAGTAAGAGAGGCATTTTATATAATTTGATCCTACCTATTAATCAGTACTTGACATAGCTTCAGCACTGAAGCACAGTTGAGGTTTGACTCCATGGTAAAGTAATATAAAGATATGGAAAGTAAATATGCTCCCTCTAAAATCTGTGATTCATTTTTAGTACAGGATGTATATGAAACATCTGACAATAGATTTTGATCTAAAAATATTTTTGCATAATGAAATAGCATCAAAACTTTTTCCCTGGATCATCTTTAGAAACAAATGCTCCATGGATCCTCTTTTAAATTCTGCACAACAATAAATGGATGAAGAATGTGTGCAGACATTAAGCAGTGAAACCATTGTTCTAATCACTGTAAATAACCCAAGGAGGGTGAGGACAAGGCAGGGATTTCCACACATAGTCTTCCTCACAAATGTTGATTTGGGCCACATTCGTCAAAAAATTCTTAATGGCACAGTCACAAGGTTGTCAACAAATACCCGCAACTGAAAAAAATCAGGGCATATTGAGATCCAACACAAAGTACAGAGGTCTTACTGTATTTTCAGATCTGTCCTTCAATTATTGTTGCTTTTTCTCATTATTTTTAGTACTAGCAGTTATTTCATGCTAATAAAATGCCCCTTTGGAAAAACTGTGAAGCATTGTCTCACATTTCTGGATAGATTTAATACAAAGGCTATGCAGATAATTTCAATGCTATCAGTTTAAAGCTTTCTAAATAGAAATATTCTGCACAGGTCAGTGTTTTAGAATTGTTAAGATATCTCTCAATTTTTCCCTAAAATTGGTAAATTACATGTACACATGATAACCTTTATGTTAATATTAGTTTTGTTCAGGAGTTCTTGCAGGGAGACTGACCTGGGAACTGTGTTTCAATTTAAAAAAAATTACAACTATATTTTAACTTAAAAAATTGAAACAAGAACACTGAGTCTTTAAGACACAGAATACTGAAGTATCAATTAGCAATTCAAGTGGACTTCATTTTAGTGCTTCCTCATAGTGTCCTTGATGGCTTTGTAAAGAAATGTTGCTTCATACTGACCCCACAACAATCCAAAATGTAACAATCCTGACCTATGTGTGATCGTAACGACACAGTTCTTGCTGGCTAAGTTTTCGTGCATCAAAAACCATGATAAACTGTCACTGTGAAATATTTATTTTCCAGCTACACACCAGAAATAGTATTATTTTCACAATATAAAACTCTAAGGTGCACTATTTTTAAATAACAAGTGAAACTTATTTACAGAAACATGAGATCAATAGGACTACATAATATTGTTTTCAAAAAGCCTTCAGAAGTGAAAATAAATAACTCGGAAATCACATTCCTCAAATTCCCTTTTAATTCCAAAGCACAACAGAAAGGCATTATGAAAAAAACAGTATTTCCCTTCTTTCATTAACTCATCTGTAACTGCACTGAATTCAATAACATTCCTCTGCTATTCTAAGCTTGAAAGGCATGCTTGGGGTAAAGTGTTATGTTGGTATAAAGCACAATGCCAGACTGATGTGCTGGACAAAAGTGATCAAAGTTGAAGTAATTTTAGCCAACGCACAAGTATTCTGCTGCATTATCCTACCAGAATGACATCTGTTGAGCAACTCGTCACAGAATAAACCAGTTGTTCTAGGCAGCCCTGCCTGGGTAGGGGACCATGTAAGACTGATTAGAGTAATGTTTGATTAAACAAACTGCTTGAGTTAAGATCATAACTGGATTTGGAATTCATGCCAAAGTAGTCCTCTTTCAAACAACAAGCCACAATCAATTATTTAAGATAAAATAAGCTTGCTTTTAAATAATGATTTGATTTTTGGTTTCTTTGATAATTAGAACACTGTTACGAAAGCAGGCTGTAAAATGTTTTAGAGATTAGAATATTTACCAATTGAGTATAGAAAAACCCTTTTCTTCATTAATTGACCTAATTTATGAAAGCAGACTGTAAAATGTTTTAGAGATTAGAATATTTACCAGTTGAGTGTGGAAAAATTCCTTTTCTTCATTAATTGACCTAATTTCAGTTTAAAGTGAAAAACTCCATGAGGAGGAAAAATTTCTGAAGATTTATATAAAGCAGAGCTGTGAACTTCTCCTTCACTGAGCCAATAAAAATCTACAGCCACACTCTTCAGGCAACTGAAAATAGTTAGCACAGAAAATGGACAAAGTTTGTGTTAAAGATTTTATTATAAATTCACTCAGCATTGAGAGGAGGAACAAAATCTTTATCGCATACAGCAAACTGTGCTGTCCACTGAGCTTACATTTATTGGCAAACTTTTTGGTCCTGCACTTTTGATCAGTTTGAAATACAAATTGGTGGCATTGTCTTTGTGCAGCCCAGAATGTCTTTTCATAATGTTCAGATGCCATGGTGACTGGCACATTACTATGGCAGCCACCCTTCAGATTATCATCTCCAGAATATAAGAGATCATTTTAAAACAAATTAAAGGCACATCTATTTGGTTTCACTACTCAGCTGTAAACAGTATCAATACAACCATTTAAACAAAACAAAAAAAAATAGTCCATATATTTCAGATGCAGTCTTATTACTAGGATAATTCCTGCAAAATGCCCTGCCTTGCAGTTATACATTGATGCTGGAAAACTATGAGAAGTTTTAGCTTCAGCTCATTTTCACTAGTTTTAGAAGAGAGTTAACATATTAAACAACTTCTAATATTTTAAGAAAACACATATGTCAAAGTAGCCAACACACTGAGAAAACTACCCAGACAGAGGCATGTTACCTTCCTATCTTTCACTGATTTCTTTAAACAGACGAACATGTTGCTTTGAAAGTAAGGTTAAACACAAAATATACACTTTGTTTGCAAATATGAAGCTAATCCAACATTCTAAGTCCTGCCACATTCATATTAGTAAGGATAAAGTGAAGCAAAATATATCACAGGGCAAAATGTCTGTACCAGGTACGGTGATGACAACCAACCTTCTGGTGATTGCACTCAGCAGGAATTAGTAGCTATTTTCTCATCTCTGAATTAGAAAAATCTGAAACCTACTCTCAAAAAACAAATACCTAACACTTACTAAATGATTAAAAAATTAAATTTATGCTGAATCACTGAAAAACTGTCATGCCTGAATCTGTATCTTTGATTCACAACAAATCACAACAAAGTTTAACAGTAGTTTCCCTCAGGCTGCTTTCAGCTTATGCAGGTACAAAGTTAAGTGAAATAATGTACATAATGAACTTTTGTTAGTCTTATTATTAAATATAATTTATGCAAAGCTGTAAATTGGCTGAGATGCTAAAGACTGTTCCAGGCACATAGGCAGCATGAAAGACAGTGCAAAAATGAGTGCATGAAAGGCAGACAAAAGGAGCAATAAAGTCAGAGGACTGTGAGGAATGTGGAATGTGAGTTGGGGGACACAGGGAAACGAGATCAGATGCAGACAGTGCAAGGTTGCACGGGGCACTGATGGTACAGCAGAAATCTTGACTTTGACATGGTAACAGAGAAGAAGTCAAGACAACTAACCAAAATTTTTAAGGGACAGCAATGATATGGATGGGGAAGAAGCCAGGAAGAAATCCAAAGTAAGTAGAAGCATTTTGGTGAAGAAAGATGGAAAGAAAGCAGGCTAACCCAGCTAAATTGATAGGCTTAAAGATTATAAATTAAAGCCTTCAACATCTCTGCCAGGCAAAATTCCAACAGATAGAAAAGAGCACTGGGAATCTGGCAGAAATAGATGGGAAGCAGGAGCAGAATCAACCAAATTTCAAAGCATGAAGAAACATCAAAGGTGATATTATGGTGAGTTTGAAAAGATAATGATGTTATCAGCAGCTATGAGCAAGAAGATTGGTTAGATAAAAGGGTGATTTCAGTTAATTGTGGACTAACAAGAATTATTGAAAATACTGAGATGCAAAACTAGAGAGAAGGAATTTCTGAATCAGCACCTCTGCCATAACCTATTGCAATAGATTTGGTCCACAGTAACAGAAAAACACAAGACACAAACTGAAGAAGTTAGGAGGGAAAATGACAACCAAAACAAGTAATCCATATTTAAAATGTTCTCACAGCAGACAAAAAGGATTTTGCATTTTATCAGGAAGAGGATATCACAAGCCAAAGGAGAAACTGAATTTCTGAACTCTGAAAGTAATTTTTAGCCAGCTACCCACAGGTAGGATACATTCACATATACTAAAGCAGTGCACTGTGTGAGCCACCACTAATACCCAAACCAGAACTCTCAGGTTACTTATCCAAGACTCATTTAAGGAAAAGGTTCTAAGTCTGCTCCATTCACAATTTTGCCTGGGCTCTTATCTTTCCAATACATAATACAAAAAACTACAACATAAAAAAAACCCCACAAAGGCTATTTAAATCATCACATTTTAATTTTAGTGTAAGTTTTACTGTAGAAATAATAGTGCAATTTCAAAGACATCAAATTATAACCTGCCTC